ATTTTACATTCCCCCCCAGTGATGTGTGAGGGTTCCAACTTCTCTGCATCCTTACCAATACTCATTATTTATAGCCATCCTAATGAGTGTGAATGGTATCTCACTGTGGTTTTGATTTGTGTTTTCTTGATGGCTAATGATGTCGAGTATCTTTTCGGGTGCTTATTGTCCATTTAATATATCTTAATTTTTTAAGCTTATTTATTTATTTTTAAGTAATCTCTACGCCCAACATGGGACTCAAACTCATGACCACAAGATCAAGGGTCTCTGGCTTCTCCAACTAAGCCAGCCAGGTGCCTCCCATTAATATATATTCTTTAGATAAAGGTCTATTTGGATCCCCCACTTTTTTTTCAGTAAGCTCTGCACCTAACAGGGGACTCAAACTCACGACCCTGAGATCAAAGAATTGCATGCTCCACTGACTGAGCCAGCCAGACACCCCTTCTCTTGTATATTTTTAAATTGAGTTATTTGGGGGTGCCTGGTTGCTGGTCAGTTGGGGGTGCCTGGTTGCTGGTCAGTTGGTTGAGCAGCCAACTTTTGGTTTTGGTTGCAGTTGTGATCTTAGGGTCATGAGATAGAGCTCCAAGTTAGGTTCCATGCCAGCAGAGTCTGCTTGTCTCTCTCCTTCTGCCCCATCCCCCTCAAGTAAATAAATAAATAATTTTTTAAAGTTTTTTTTTTAAGATTTTATTTATTTATTTGATAGAGAGAGACACAGCAAGGGAGGGAACACAAGCAGTGGGGAGTGAGAGAGGGAGAAGCAGGTTTCCCGCTGAGCAGGGAGCCCGATGCGGGGCTTGATCCCAGGACCTTGGGATTATGACCTGAGCCGAAGGCAGAGCCTTAACTGACTGAACCACCCAAGCCCCCTGTCTTCTTTTTTTTTAAGATCTATTTATTTAGAGAGAGAGTGCAAGCAAGGGAGGGGAAGGGCAGAGGGGGAGAGAGAGACAGTCTTAAGCAGACTCCACATGGGGTTTGACACAGGGCTCCACATGGGCTTGATCTCATGACCCTGAAATCATGACCCTGAGATCATGACCCCAGCTGAAATCAAGAGTTGGATGCTTAACCGATTGAGCCACCCAGGCACCCTTTCTTATTATTGAGTTGTAAGAGTTCTTAATATATTCTAGATACAAGTCCCTTATCAGATATATGATTACATGTATTTTCTCCCATTCTGCAGGTTGTCTTTTCTCTTTGTAGATAGTGCCATTTGGAGGACAAGTTTTAAATTTTTGATGAGGTCTAATCTATTTTTTTATTTTGTTCCTTGTGTTTTGGTATCATATCTAAGAAACTATTGCCAAATCCAAGGTCATGAGGATTAACACCTATTTTCTTCTGAGATGGTTTGGCTCTTACATTTAGGTTTTTGATGCATTTTGAGTTAATTTTTGTATGTGATATGAGGTAGGGGTCCAACTTCATTCTTCTGCATAAAGATACCCAGTTTTCCCAGAACCATTTCTTGAAAAGACTATTCTTCACCATTGAATTGTCTTGACACTCTCTTCAAAAAAATCTATTGACCATAAGTGTGAGTGTGTGTTCCTAGACTGTCAATCCTGTATGTACTTCCAAATGCAAGTACCACACTGTCTTGATTATAATAGCTTGGAAGTAAGTTTTGAAATCAGAGACTATGAGTCCTACAACTTGGTTCTTCATTTTCAAGATTGTTTTGGCTATTCTACTTTGGCCCCTACTATTCTTACCCCAAGGGACAGGGCCTCATCCACACTGCCTCTTCCAAGGTGTTCATTATGTAGCCCACCATACTGATCTCCATTTTTTTCCAACCTCACCTTGCAGTGTTCTTTCCCTCACTTTTCCACTCTAGCTGTATGGGCCTTCTCAAACATTCTGAAGTCCTTCCTGCCTGAGGGCCTTTGCACTGATATTCCCTTGGCCAAAAATGCTTTCCTTCCACTCCTTCTCCCTGCCTCTCCCCTATTCCCAAGGCTGACTCCTTGTCATTCAGGTCTCTGCTCAAATGTTATCCTCTCAGAGAGGCCCTTATTAACACTGTCTAAGGTAGCTACCCACCAAACCCTCCCTCTTTATTGCATTATGCTGTATTATATAATAAATAGTCATATTTATATCATTGTATTTATTTATTTATTTTCTGTCTCCCCCTAATAGAGTGGAGACTTCAGGAAAGCAGAGACCTTGTCTTATTTCACATTGAATTCCTACACATAGGAATATAATAGACTATACTACCTGGCGTGTAATAGACATTTAATATGTATTTATCTATTGAATGAATGAGTAAATTGATCAGTCAGGCCCTGGACAGCCCCTATAGTGGGATTCAGCACCAGGAAAAGTGGTAAGAAGCAGTGAACTGACCCTCACACCAGGGTTATTTTCCTTGTACTCACCTTCTTCTCTCATTTTCTACCAATCAGCAATTCCTCCCTTCTTTTGTTCAAAGTTTTCCCCTAGACCCTCTTCCTAATGTCTGTCTACATTTGAGAAGTAGATACAGACACATTCCTGCCTTCCCCAGTCTCTGCTCTGGGTTGCTCTTAGGAAAAATGACCAAAGTTGTCTCCGATCATAGTATATATGGACAAGTGCATGCTCAGGTCCATTTGCAAAGACAAAAATCTATAATATTGGGAAGCATGAGGCACTGGACGAGGAGACAGAAGAACACAGAACTAAGAAGATAAGAGCCCAGAACCTCAGAGAAAATCAGAACCTCAGGCCAAGAGTCCAAGAATTCATATTATGACAATCTTTGATTCCAATACCCACAAAAGTTTGAAAACCATTGTCCCACATCTACAGACTGGAGAAGAGAAGACCTACATTACTGATAGGGAGAGATTTTCCCTGGGGCTTGGGAGGCTCTAATAACCTACTATACAGCCCTAGGTTTTTCATCTAAACATCTTAAAGAATGTTATAGGCATAAATTAACCCTTATAGCACCCTACAATCTGGGCTCTTGGCCCCATTTTACTGACAGAAAACTGAAGCCTATGGGTTAGAGCCAGGAAAGGCATGCTGCAGGCTCATATGGCCTGGACAGAGCAAGCTAAGGACTAAGATTTAAGCCAGAGCTGACCTCAGTCTTTCCCTTATGACACTGGTTCCCAATGTGGGGACTGTAGAGCACTTAAATTCATGTGTATGTTTACCATGTCTTGGCTGCAGGCAGATGATAATTTAGTTGGTTCCTTGTCACTCAGGTCCCAGCTTAAAGGTCACCTACTCAGAGAGGCCTCCCCTGAACATCTACCTCAAGCAATCTTCTCCCAGTCCCTGTCATATTACCCTGTTTGATTTTCTTCAGGGTACTTGTCATTATCTCAGATAATCATATTTTTTCTTTGTTATTTCTGTCCTTTAGTATAAACTCCATGAAGTTAGAAACTTTATTTGATGGGACATTGTTGATATTCACTAAGTATTTGTTCAGTGTTTAAGTAAAACTAAATGAAGATGTTTTCAACAATATGTAGATGCTGCTGAAATGGGCAAAATATATAATTATCTAAGTTTAAATTATACTTTTGGCATATATTTCTGTCAATCAATAGATACTTAGATATAATTTTAGGAGCCTTCTTAAAGATTTATTTATTTATGAGAGAGGGAGCACAAGTGGGAGTGGGGGAGGGGCAGAGGGAGAGGGAGAGAGAGAATCTCCAGCAGACTCCCTGCTGAGCGTGGAGCCTGATTTGAGGCTCTCACAACCCTGAGATCATGACCTGAGCCGAAATCAAGAGTCAGATGCTTAATCGACTGAGCCACCCAGGCACCCCTAGGAGTCTTCTTTAAAACATTAAAAAGACCCATCAGAATTTCCACTTCTGGGGCACCTGGCTGGCTCAATTGGTGGAGCAAACAGCTGTTGATCTCAGGGTCATGAGTTTGAGCCCCACCTTGTGTGTAGAGATTACCTAAAAATAAAATGTAATAAAATAAAAAAGAATTTCCACTTCTGGCATTGTATAGATTAAAATTTCTGAACAACCTTCCTAACTAAAAAACTAAAATGCTAGATTAAATATAATTTTTAACTTTAGAATTCATAGATAAACTGACATACACAAGTGTTCTCTTTTTAGTTGTTCTTTAATTTCACTCCTAGGTATATGCTCTGAAGAAATTCTTATACTTCCAGAAGACATTTTATATACTCTTTTTTTTTTCTTAAAGATTTTATTTATTTATACGTGAGAGACAGAGGCAGAGGGAGAAGCAGGCTCCCTGCGGAGCAGAGAGCCTGATGTGGGACTCAGTCCCAGGGCCTGGGATCATGATCTGAGCCGAAGGCAGATGCTTAACCGACTGAGCCACCTAGGCGCCCCTTATATACTCTTTTGTATATATGGTATCTTTTTCAGATTATTAGGTTGTTCATTCTATGCAGGTTACAAAAAGAGAGGTAGATATGTATGTACTGGCATGGGGAAAATATTCAATGCATATCAAGTGACAAGCATGTTGTAGAACTCAACGTATAATCTCACTTCAATGAAAATAGTAATGTGTCCCTTGAAATAAATTTGAACAATATACACTAAAATTTGGACACTGATCATCACTGGTATGGTTTTCATTTCAAAACTATATATTTCCTTAGTGTTTTAATATTTTGCACTAATCTCATTTACTTTTGTGATAAAAAACAGTAAGGATTATTTTCATATGTATAAAAAACTATTTTAAATAGAGGAATAATTTTTCTGGAAAGATTTTTTCCCCTTTTGCAAACTGAAAAGAGTTCGCTAAAGACCCCTAATTCTGTAAAAGAGAATTTGTGAGGACAGAAAGTTCAAATTGAGAAGGGTTTCCGGGTCCCTTTAATGGGGTAGAGAGTGAATGGGGGCCTGGTCAGTCCCCCAGGCTTACCAGCAAACCTGCTTCTTCCCTGCCACTCTCTCTGTCTTTTTTTTTTTTTTTTTTAGGATTGTATTTATTTATTTATTTATTTATTTATTTATTTGACAGAAAGCACAAGCAGGCAGAGCGGCAGGCAGAGGGAGAGGGAGAAGCAGGCTCCCCGCTGAGCAGGGAGCCCAATGTGGGGCTCGATCCCAGGACCCTGGGATCGTGAGCTGAGCCAAAGGCAGGCGCTTAACAACACTGAGCCACGCAGGCGCGCCATCGCTGCCACTCTCTACCCCCTGCTCAGGAAGGTGACGGAAATCTTGGTCAGCTGCCCTCCAGTCCTGCCCCACTGGTTCCAGTCGACTGAGCATGTGGCAGTTAAGCCAAAGGCTAACAATATCCTGACTTCCGAGTAACACCTGTGAACTGAGAGAAGACATCGTGGGGTCAGAGCAAGTGCACAGGGGCACAGTAGGGCAAAGAATATTGCAAAGGAGCTATAGGGGATATGGAAAGCCCAGGAGATCTTGTTCTGGGATAGCTGCTGAATTGCCCTCTAGAATTTTCCACTGCAAATGGTGGGGCTTCTTGGGCTCTTGAGCTTGGAAAGCATGGATAGAAGGGTTTCTGTGGCAAGAAGAGAATTTAGCTTATCAAGGGGGAAAAATGCCAGGCTTTTGCACATGCTGCACCCTCTGCCTAGAACATTTCCCTCCACCTTATTCTGGCCATTCTTCGTTCTTCTTCAAATTTCAAGTTATGGACCATTTCCTCTTCTCCAACTCCCACCACCCCACCTTCACCATCCTCCAAGAAGGGCTTAGAGGTCTCTCTGCTCCCACAGTTGATGCTTGCCTTAGCAAACACTATCCCACTCCAAAAACTCCCTATTGGTCTTTCCCAGTGGATTTTAAGCTGATGAGGTCAGGGACCATAATTATCTTACTTACCACTGTATCTCGTATCTAGATACTCAAGTATAGTACTCATAAACTGTTTTGATAAATGGATGAATAAAAATGGAAGGAATGGCAAAGTGGGCAAGTGACAGAGAATCCCTCCGCTTGTCTGGAGTGTGGTTCTCAGCAGCCTAAGGGAGTGGCCTCCAGGGCAAAGGAAAGCAGCAGGGAGCTTTATCCTCCCTCCCTCTCCTCCCCACTCCCTACCATTCTTTTGTCATTATACCTCTTCCTCCCCAGCCCTACATCTCTACATTCAATTTGGTGTGAGCTTGAGCTCCCTCTACTGGCCAGACTTCAGTGCCACAGGGAGCCAAGCCCAGGTATCCTCCCTTATTTCATTCTTGCCTCTGGAGAGACCTTTCTATTCCCTCCCCTACTTTGGAGTTCGTGAGGAACTGGAACATGAAGGGAAAACAGGGGTAGCCAGCACACTGGAGGTTTCCAAGGTCTGAGCCCCCACCTCCCCATCCTCGACCCCAGGGGCACTTCCCTCACATCCTCACCTCGTGCTCAGTTTCCTGGAGTCTCTATTCCTAAAACTCCTACTCCAGCTAATTCACAGAGATATTGATTTCTGGAGCCCTTGGCTGATACATCAGCTCTGACTGCAAAAGAAAGATCCCAAGATAAGTTGGGAGTAGACAGAGACAGAGCAGAGAGAAAGGGGCCCAGAAAGTGAAAGGATATAAACCCACACTGAGACAAAGATTATGGTTGAAAAAGACCACCAGAGCTGTCCCCAGACCTTTCTACCCCCATGGATTCATAAACCAGGGCCCCTGCCCTCTAAAGAAAGATTTCCCTCACCCCTTCAGTGTACCTATGTCCCCCTAAGGGGAATTATTGTGTTAATCAGATCTTCAGGTTTAATAGAAATATTAGACTTTAGGGATAACTCCTGGACAAAAGTGCTCTCCCCACCCCTGCCCCCTTCTCCTGAGAGGGCCCATCTGGGGCTCACATCTTCACTGTCACCACCGAGTGAATATTCTGGCTCCAGCCCCTTCTCAGGGATGCTCCTTTCCTTCTCTGGCATCAGCTCATCCAGCCAAAGGAGTTCCTGTGGTGAGAAGACCCTCTCCAGTGCCTTTCGGACCCCCACCAGGCCCAGCAACTGCAGGGATAGGAACAAGACCCAGGACTGTCAGCAATAGCAGCAGAAACATGAGCAGCAGTAGCACTTATTGAGCACTTCCTGTGTACTAGGCATTGTGTATTGTTTCATTTAATGCTAACACATTCCTATGATATATATATAATTGTTCCCATTGTATAGAGAAAGAAACTGAAGCCCTAAGAGTTTAGAAACTTCCCAGAAGTCACACAGCTGGGATCCGATAATCAGATTGGTCCTACTAGAAAGCCCAGGGCTCTTAATTTCCTCAGGGACTAAGGATAAGGCCCGAAACCACCAGTGGCATCGCCTCACTGAGTAACAAAAGTGCCAGTATTGCCTCTCCCAGGGCCTCGGTTTTCTTTTGGACTTTATATCCCTGTCTGTGGTTGATCAGCCAAAGAGGTTGTAAATGGAGTTGAATCAGGTATCCCAGGATCAGCCTATCTGTGGGCATCTCTCAGCCATCTTTCTCTGTCCTAAGATTCCCAACCAGGCAGAGTCAGGGCAAGTGAGAGGGGGAGAGTCTTCCTCCTGTGGAGTCTTTGGCCACCCTCCCAGGCTCAGAGTCTCCCAGGATCCCTGGGACACTACCCAGCCCTGCCCCAAGTCACCATGAGGGGGAAGATGATGGCTGCAGGGGTAGACTTGATTATCCAAAGCAAACCCAGGCAGGCAAGCTGGATGGCTGTGAAGAGGTGGACCCTGCTCAGAGGTACGTGGCGCAAGAGCAGGAGGTCTGGCTGATGTTTTGCTGGCATCAATAATAGCTGTACCCTCTTTGTGAACTAGGGGAACAAGAGGAGGAGGAAAGCAGGGTGTTCAGCCTGGAGGGTGTCACTGTTAGCTATCGAAGCCTAGCATGGGGGGGAGGCCCCCTCCCCATTCAGAGCGTGGCAGCAGGGTCCTATGCCCAGGAGAGTCAGGAAAAGAGGATGGGAGAGGACTTGGCAAGTGTAGGCAGGAGGTAGCAGCAGGAAAGAGGAGGAGGAGTGGGACTGCGGGGTAAATATAGTGGGCTCACCTGAATGCTGCTAATCGCTGCCACCCCCATGTACAGGAAGACGCCATAGAGCACAGGCATTGGGATGAACTGGTAGGAAGAAGTGGAGAGCTGGCAAAGGAGCTCACTTGTGCCAGCTGCCCAGATGCCCCCCGCCCCCCACTGAGGCTCCAACTCCAGCCTCCAGTATCTACGTCTAAGCCCACCCAGCTCTTTCTGTTCCTTTCCGACTTTGCATGCCTGATACTGAATCCTCAAGACAGTCAGAAGAGGTAAATTCTATAATTGTCTCCATTTTACAGAAGGGGGAATTGGATTTCAGAGAGACTAAGTTAACTGGCCTTCTTCTCCAATCTTATCTATCACGTTCTTCTTTGCTCTCTCTGTTCCTGCTATATGGCTTCCTTTCCTTCCCCCAACATGCCCAAGCTTATTTCTACCCCCTTGCAAAGCCCTTTGCTTTGCTTTGCTATGTCCCTCCACCTACAATGGCCTTCCTTGACTTTCTTCTCACAACTCAGGCTTTCTCACTGCTCATCTCTTGACATCCCAGAAGGGTGTGACCTTTTCAATCTAAAGTAGACCTCTTGCACTCTTAATCACCTTACCCTCTTATATTTTTCATTAGAAGTAATCACCATCTGAAATTATCCTATTTTATTAATTTTTTTCATCTGTCTCTTCTCACCAGACTATAAGCAGTTGATGGTCTCTTTTGATGACTACTATATCCCCAGTCTTTGGAACAGTGCCTAGCATATGGTTTATGTGCAGTAAATAGCTGCTGAATGAGAGTCACCTAGTTAGTAAGCAGCTGATCCGGTCCATCTGGCTCTTTCAACTACTCCACTCTCACCCAGCTCCATGACCTTTCCCTCCCCAAACCTCTCCTCACTGGTGACTGTTGTATGCCATTCTCCATGCCCTCCTTGATTGCTTTGGTGCTTTGGCTTGTTGAAACTTTCTGTGATTACCTGTTACTTAATTTTTGTTCATGTGTGTATGTTGCTGATAGGGACTTGGCTCCATATCTTTTTTCAATACTCCTGCCCCTTCCTGCTCCCCACCCGCTTCTCCCAAGTGCCTAGCAGAGCCTTGCGCATGGCAGGTATTCTACAAACATCTGGTAAGGGAGCAGTGAAGGGGTTTTGCCTCAAGGTTTTTCTGGGGCGTGATGATCACACTTTGTTGGGAGGCTGGAGCAAGGGTACCATACCACTTGGCCCATAGAGGAAGGTGGCATGCCCACACCCTGCTCCACTGGGTAGAAAGCCCTCTGGGTAAGAGGTTGGGTTCTCAGATGGACCTGAGAAACTAGCTCTCTTGGTGATCTTTTGTAAGCTAACCTCTTTAACCTTCAGCTTCCTCATTTGCAAAGTACGGATGCCTTCAGGGTTCATGGGAGGATCAAATGAGACCAAGTGTGGAGAAAACAGCACAGTGCCTGGTGCACAGTATTTAGCCAGTGTCAGTTCTTGCTTTCTTTATTATTGGTACTGCCATGCCCAGCCCCTGACGCCAGCCTAACAAAGGTACCTTGAGTACAGGTGCCAGGAAGATGGAAGTTCCTGTGAGGATGAACACCACCAGGCCTGTCAGCCTCTGCTCCCTGTGATGCGGAGAGGGAAGAGTTAGCCAGGGTCTGGGAGAGCCCCCAAGGTGCAGGACTGGAGATGAGGACCAGGTACTACTACAGGCACTGGCAGGAGGGAAGTGGAGGGATCCCCCACTAGTCACCTGGCAGGGAGGGGGCCTTAGCACAGTGTGCAAAATTGGTGGAGAGGAAGGGGCACGGCACTTCAGTTTGGCTGCCCCAGGCCTCTCCATCAGCTCAAGCTCATAGGTTTTTATTTTGATTTTGATGAAAAGTTAGCAATTTTTACACTGCCATAAAAACTTTTACTTCACGGTTTCAAAGTTAATTTCACATACTTTCCACAGATTGTGTTTCCAATAGTTACAAAATTGTTTTTGTGATGGTAACTCTGTAATATCAGTGAGGTACTCCTACACTGAGCGGGGGGGGGGGGGGGGGGGGGGGGGGGGGGGGGGGGTGGGTAATTAGCTGGCACCTCACCCTCGCTCAGCCCTGGCTGCCTCTGCCTTTACATCTATGAGGCTCCTCTCGAGGGCCCACCCAATCCCATGGCTGAAGGAGAATGGGGGAAGATCTGACACACCCGTCTCAGCCCAGAACCCATCCATTCACTCCACTGCAGTGCTCATGGAGCAGTGAGAGAGCCCTCTTGGAGTCACCAGCTTAGAATTTAAGCTGTCCAAATAAGTGCTTTGTATCCCACCATACCACCTTACTGACCACCTCTCACTCTAGCCTCCTGAATGTTGGCCTCACCTGATCCCCAGGAAGCTGCGCGGCTCCCCCAGAGCACAGGCTCTGCTTTCTCTCCGAAGACTGTCCATGTGGGCCAGGGAGATGACTGTGGCTGAGACGTACCAGGGTAGCCCCAGCACTGATGTGAGCAGCATCAGCAGAGCCACACAGAAGAGGTCCAGGTGGAAGCCAGCTCCCTTCTGCAGGTAGTGGTGGAGCACTGAGGGTGAAACTAAACCAGACCTGGGCTCTCTCTCCTCTGGAGTGGGAGAGGGAGGTCCTGGACCCCATCCTAGAGTTTCTGTCCCTCGGTCTAGGGACCTAGGGTCTTACCTGGCAGGCCTTACCTGCAGTTTATATTCAGCACGGTTGAGGATGACTGCTGTGATCTGCTGGTCCATGAAGATGAGGACAGATAGAAGCAGGGCAGGTAAGGCTGCTGCCACACTTAGCCACCAGGGGTTGGCTCCAAAAGGTGACACCAGCCAGCCACGCCCAGGGAGTGTGGGCTGGGAGAGGGTGTTCCATGGACAAGTTAGAGAGGGTCTCCCAAGAGTACCTCACCTGCACACCCTAGCATTGGCATTCTTCTATAACCCCTTACCCCTATTCCAAGACCCCAGATGGTAGGTAGGAGCAGTATGTGTGCATGCACAGCTGGTTCAAAGCACGTCAGTGTCTTAAAAAAGGGCAGAAGGAGGGGGACCACCCTGGGGGTTGGGCTGGAGCCAGGGGCTCTGGACTTTGGTTCTCAGAGGCCCTCCCGCCCTGCAAGAGGAGGGGATGGAAGGTGAGGCCCGCCCGCACTTCTTGATGTACAGAGCCCTTTCCCCTAGGCACACCCCCCCCCCCCTCAACCAGGGTGGAGCGACTCAGGCTCAGACCTGCCTTGATCGGGGACAGGCACAGGACTGGGTGTGTCTGCGTCTGCTCTGATTATAAGCGTCTGTGTGGGGGAGGGGACCCAAGTTGCCGTCTCAGATTCTGAGCCACTGAGGCTACCCCAACTTGAGTCCCCCTGCTCTCCTGTCCTGGGGGAAGCTGGAGAGAAGGTCTCCAAATGCCCAGGCAAAGTCTAAGTGCTAAGTCAGTGCTAAGCCTTGTCCTGTGCACTGTCATGCCCTTGGTAGGGAGCTCCAGCTTTACCAGATCAGAGCTGGCAACTGGGGGTTCAAAAAAGAGAGTGGGGAATGGTGGAGTGGGTAGGGCCAACCTATGACAACAATAAGTAACATTTATTAAGCTCTTGGTATGTGCCAGTCCCTGCACTGTGGTAAAACGCTTTACATTCATCTTCTGTGAACCTCAAGACAACTTATAGAGTAGGAGCCATTGTTATTTATTATTTCCATTTTATAGATGCATAAATTGAGGCTCATTGATGAGAGATGTGGGTTAATTTGCCTAAGGTTTTACAGCTAGGAAGTGGCAGAACAGGATCTCAAACCCAGGGCTGGCTGAGCAGAACTCATCCTCTTAACCCCTAATTTATAATAATAGCTTCCATGTAGTCTGTACCACTGTGTCAGCAGCAGTACCTCATTAATCCTCACAGCAACTCTGTGAGGTCATTATTATTATCCTTTCTATTTTATAAGCGAGGAAATGGAAGCTCAGAGGAAGAGAAGCAGGGGATCTATGCATTTCCTCCTCCAAGGTCCTGTGTGCTGGCCCTGCTCTCCCCTCTGCCCTATACTCCCAGCTCTCACCTTGAACTCACTGGGCACCGTGAGCTTTGGCGTGGCCAGACCCAGGAAGGAATCAAGGCCACAGCCCAGCAGCATGGCCAGGACTGAGGAGAAGTCACCGAGCACTCTGCGCACCTGGCCACACAGTGGACACTCAGTCAGATTCAGGCCCACCAGCCCCCTCCTTCTTCACCCTTTCCCATGCACAGACAGGGCCCAAGGCCAAGAGCCAGCACTCTCCCGCAGAAAGGTAACACTCACCACAGAGGGGAAGAAGCGGCTTGCCTTCACATGCTTGAGGGCTGTGGCTAAGAGGAAGGAGGTCAGGAAGAGGAGGAGGGAGAAGAAGGCAATGTCTGGGACTGCATGGCAGCTGGGGCCGCGAGGCTGGCCTCCCCGCCGGGCACACTCAGGTGGGGGCAGCAAGGAGGCATTGACCAGGCCAAGGTCCTGTGTGGAGGGCGTCATCAGGGATGGGGTGGCAGAATAAACATTGGCTGACACTCACTGGGACAGCAAGGGCCCAGGATAAGAGGTCTCCAGCCACAGCACAGGTCTGGGCCTCTGTGACCCATGAGGGTTTCCCTAGCCTACGGGGTGGGAAAAGCCAGGCACCACTGACTTCTTGGGCTCCCAGACTTTCTTTCCCAGACCCTCCCAGGAACAGGCCCTCACCATACTTGAGATGTCATTTCTGTCTTTTGGTTCTGTCCTTGTCCACTCAGACTCATTTCCTGGGAAGCAGAGAACAATTTGGGTATATGCCCGTCCCCTGGGAACCTTCTCCAACCCCTCAGAAGTCTAACCTCATGGGTCCAAGTAAACCAGAGAGTTCTTAGTTCTGACTCATCTGTCTGCTGACTCCAATCGCTACCAAGTCTGCACTCCTCAGAACATTGCCTGGCCCCTTCACATTCCTTACCTATCTGGATCCCTGGTGCCAGAGACAGGACTGGCCAGAGCAGAGGCCTAGCATGTTTGCTTAATGGATGAGTACACCAATCTATGGGTTTCTACCAGGACCAGAACTGGTTTTGTTCATGTCCAGCAGAGTCTGGCACTCTTGAGAGGACATCTCTTCCCCATTCCTGCTGCTTCCTTCCACATGGAGGTATTTGTGCAAAAGTAATATGCTGAGCGGCTCTCCCCCTGAGTCGTCACTCAGACTAGGGAAAGAGCAGCAACTTATTTGATTGGTGAGTTTGAGAGAAGAAGCTGGGCATGCCTCTCCCTGTCCCCTCCTCTCCTCACTCTTGGGAATAAGCTGGCTGCACCGTGCATACATTTAGCTCTGCTCCTCTGGGGCAAGACAGTCCCTGTCCAGTGCAGCCAGGACTGGGTGCGTAAATCTATCTAATTTAGGTTTCATTGTTAGGAAGCCCATTCCCCCACAGATATAAGCATGTTCTTCAATCGGCATTGTCAGAAATAAAGACAATATTGGGCCTGCTCTGTTACTTCTCAATTGATCCAAAACCAGAGTGGGGAAGAGTGCTGCTGGTTTTGGGGTAAGTATTCAGGATTCTGCTGAACTTAACAAGGGGGGGATAGCAAGGGGACAACCCCTCCCCCTCCTGCATCCTTCCCCATCTTGCCAAACTCCCTGTTTCCCTCACCCACCTCCCAGGTCTGGGTACTGGCAAAAGCAGCCATAAGCAGGATAGCCAGGGCTCTGGATAGGATAGGCACTTGTCAAGCTCAGCATTTTGCCCACAGCATCGTAGATGAAGATGAGGCTGATGAGGGCACAGAAGCCTTCTTCGGTGAAGCGGGTAAAGTAGCGTACCAGCACGCTGGCCTCTGTGGCCACCAGTGCCAGGCAAAATGTGGCCACCCAGATGCCCACCCACAGGCGGAAGGGTAGGTAGTCCAGGCTGTAATCTCTGGGGGGGGGGGGGAGACAGACAGGAATTGGCAGAGTTGTTCTGCTGTCCACTTAATCCAGGTTAGGTGCCCCTGGAGCCAGACAGTTTCCACCCTTCCCTACTGACCCAGCCAGGACCCAGGCTGAGAGTGTGGCTAGTGAGGGTCTGGTGACAGTTAGGGTATTCTCCTACCTACTGAAGGAGAAGAGCAGGCGCTCGAAGACCAGCACTGGCCCCGTACTGCTGAGGATGGTGAGGGGTTGGCCAGCCATCAGGCAGAAGGCAGCTCCAGCCACTGCAGTGCCCAGGAAACTTTCCAGCACCCCCTAGAAGCCAGCAGGGAACCCTGTCCGCACAGGACACTGGAGTCCTCAGCACAGCAACTCAAGCTTCCAGGGAAGCCCACCCATTGTCCCAGGGAAGGGTAAAGGGCATGGCTGGCAGAATACCAAAACTTGTGCCTGCTCCCCTCATGCCTCCCCACTCACCTGAGCGCCATTGGTCGCTTCCCCCAGCAGACCCCCAAAAGTGATGGCATTAGTGACGGTGGCCAAGTAAATGTAGAGCACGGCTGAGAAGCACTGGGGATGTAGCGCATCCAAGAAGTCGCTGGGGTACCATGAGGCCTTCCGGCGCACATCCTGGACAAGGCCCCCAAACAGCCTCCCACCCATGGTTTGTCAGTGATCCAGGTGACCCCACCCATGCCCCTATCCCTGCTACTTTCCCTGGGACTGGGCGATCCCCTCCACAGTGAGCATACGCCTCTGTGCCCCTGTGACCCCTGCCCCTCCCAGTACCCTCACCCTTGCTCTCACCCCAGCTCACCTCACCTTCCTGTCCGCTGTAACTCTGGGCTGGGTGCCTGCGGCCAGTGGCCATACCTGTCCTCAGCCAGGGCCCCATGCCGGGCAGAGGGGCCCTGGACCTCCCTCAGTTGTGAGAGGAGCCTGAAGAGAATGGGAACCCAGGTGGCCTGAGGATCTCCAACCAGAACATGACTGGGCACCCTGCCCCCTGGTGGCTGCTCGTGTCTCTGCCAGCAGGCTTGGAATCCAAAGGTAAGGTTCTAGCCCTTTCCTGGAATCCCCTACCCTCTTCAACAGTGGGAGTGGACCCAAGGTCTGTGGAGAAGGCCCCCATATACCTTTTGTGCTGGGAGGGCAGACATTTAGGTGGGGCAATCCGGGCTGTCGGGTCCCACCGACCTGGAGGCAGCACTGTCACCTCCTCTAGGAAGGCATCCAAGGCGGCCAGAAGGTGTCGAAGGTTGCTGGCCCGACGAACTGACCACTGGAATTGCTAGGGATAGGGGCACAAAGGGGCAGTAAATGCAGATCTGGACGCTTACGTGCATTTTTGCAGTCTCAAAGCTAGACACAAGTCAGATAGGCAGACAGGTCATTCAAGTATTCACTCATTAATGCACGCATGCGATGAGTATCCATTGGCTGCCTACTATGTGCCAGCACGGTGCTAGGTAAGAAACCTCAGGCCTCATGCTCACGGACACAAAACCACACTCTGCCTCATTGCTGTATTCTGTCACACATCGAGAGTCCACACGTGCATACTCACACAAGTCTATGTGTGGGCATGTGCACACACGTGCACACACACACACACACACACACACACCCTGCCCAGCTCACCGGATCACTGAGGAGGACGGCCATTGCCCGGCCCATCTCATGGTAGCCCTTTCCCAGTGTGGAAGGACCAAGGAGGAGGCAGAAAAATCTGAAGAAGGAACCAGACCCCAGAAATATAAGAGGCTGCTATCCCATAAGGAAGTCCTGACCTCTGACCTCCTTACCAGCCCCCATACATTCACTCGTGTGCACACCTACTTTGCAGCCCTGACCACTAGCCCCTCCACAGACCCCTGAGCACCGTCCTGCACTCACTCCCAAAAGAACTGGACAGAGACCTCCAAATTCCCTCCCTAGTAAAGATCCTTCTTCTGGTTTCCAGAACCCTTGACTCTCAGCAGGCTTACCTGCTGGGAAGGGGAACCTCAGTGAGGGGTCCCAGCACCACTGGATCCCGCAGGCGCACAAAGGCCCCCAGGGGCTGCGCCAGGAAGCCCAACTCTCCTGCCAGCACAACTCCTGCCTCAGCCCCTGGAGGCAGCTTCCGTCTCAGGGGGTTCTGATGCTGGATGGGGGTTCAAGGAGACACAAAGGATGAGAGCTTATTTGGGGAGGCGGGTGTTGGCAGAATACTGATTGATAATGAGGCCAGTGGAGGGTGAACCTCTGTTAATCCCTGACCCCTCTCCCAGCCCTGCCCAAGGAAGGGCCACAAACCTGTGCCTTCAGTGGGGCTTCCTCATTGTGAGAAGCCTCTCTTGGATGGGCAGACCCTTCAAAACAGGATTAGGCAGTGACTAAGAGCATGGGCTTTGGAGGTGGATACACCAGGGCTTCCTGACCAGCTTTACCTCTAACAAACTATGAAAACTGGAGCTTCCCCTCTCTGAGCCTCAGTTTTCTTATCACTAAAATGGGGCTAATTGTGGTACTACCTCACAAGATGGTTGTGAAGATTAAATGAGATACTACATGTAAAACTTCTGGCACAATGCCAACCAAGAACATCCCTTCCCAGAACTCTGGGCCCTCCACTCTTCTCCCCTCACCATTACCTCCACTTCTCACCCATGAGACCTGAATTGAGGTATAAGCCAAGGCTAGGCTGGTCTTGGTCCAGGAAGGGGGCAAGGGGATCTGGGACCCTCCCACCCAGGGCTTTTGGTCCTGGGCCCAAGGACAGGCCTCTCACCCTGGCAGGGCCTGGTGCCTATGGGCTGGATGAGGTGCTGGGGTCTCTGCAGCAGCAAGGCCTGCAGCTGCCCTCTCAGCTCTGGGCTCAGCGACTCCACTCTGGTCACCTGTTCTGAAGAACAGAGGTGGGGCTCCAACCCTTTCCTGAGAGCTCCCTGCCCCAAAACTCTTCCCCTTTCCCCTCTGCCCAGGTCCCTTTCCATTCTGGGGGTCTCAGGGAACTTGCTCCTCTAGTCTTCCATCTCCCCCCACACTGTGACAGGTAAGGATAATCCCTAGGGTGGGGTGGGGTAAGCTCTGGAAAGTTCTAAGATTTGGGGGGGAAGTCCCGGGGAAATGACATGGCTGCCCAGGCCCTCCCTGCAAAGGCTCCCAGCGTACCCACGAGCTCCAGGAAGCTCTGAGCTGGACAGTCCAGCAGCACAAGGCCCTCGGCCAGCAGGCTGCGGAGCTTCTGAAGGCTGGGCAGTGCCAGGGTGGGCACGTGAGGAACACTCCACCGGCCTGCACCCACCTCCAGCTTCTCCTCAAACAGCACCCACCTGTGGTGGAGAGGAGTGGACTATGTTATTGGGGCCATCTCTCCCAGGCCCAGGAGTGGGGGGACACAGGAGAGGCAGGGAAGGTAGGGCAATGGGGGAGTCCTGGGCCCAGTGGTGCAAAGTATGCCTCTTCCTGGGCATTCACCCCTCAACTGAGGTCTTGGGGAACTCAAAAGTAGACTGCATAGAAAGCTGAGCATTATGGAGGGTGAGGGTCTGAACTGGAGAACACAGAGAGGAACTCCTGATTGAGGGTTAGAGTACCTCCTCACACAGGAGGAGCTACGGGTCATAGAGGAGTCCCCAGCTGGGGAAAGGGAAAGACCCCATAAAACTGCCCTGGGTCCCACTCACCTGCCCGTCTCTCTCCACTCCAGTGCCTGGGGCCAGCCCAGAAGCTCATTCAGCTGAATGAAGAGCAGAGGGTCCTTGGGTACCCCCAGTTCCCCTCTGTCTGTGTCTGAGGGTCCATCAGGGCTGGGGCCAGAGCCAGGGCCACTGTCCAGCTCTCCTGTGGGCACATTTTCACAAGCACTGGAGACCTCAAACTCCTCCTGGCCTGGTAGCTTCATCTTGGGGAGGCTTGCACAGACTTTCATGGACTGGTACAGTCCTAGATTTTGAGTCCAGGGGCCCTCTGGCTGGCTACATTTATAATGCAACCCCCCACCCCCGGCACTGCCCCAGCAAGCAGCGCAACACAAACAAGCAAGGCCTGCTGACTCCAGAGCCAACCGGGTCATTCCCTTTCCCACTTGCTTTCCCCAGCCCTTGCTGCCTGAGAATGTTTGTTAAGACTAACCTGATCTTTCCCAGGCTCTCCAGAAATGCCCAGCCTGGAGCCAAAATCTTGTGTGCATTTTCTGTGGGATCAGGTCTGACTCCACTGTGTTTTGTGTAAATTAACAGGAGTAAGTCACTGGCCCGGGTCTGAGGACTGAGACCCTCAGATTATCCTGCCTGCTACTCTGTATCAAATACAAACACCAACCCCCCCCAGGACTGTTTTGGGTGTCACCAACACACCCTAAGGGCACCCATTTGGATAAACAGAGACCTAAAAAGTAACTGGGTCTATGGAAGCCAGGCTACTGTAAGGGAGACACCAGGCGGAGTCCCAGCTCATTGAAGGGCAAAGGAGGCATTGCAGGGAGAACACCGTGCCTGAAGCTTAAATTCCTTTGTCCAACCACACCTGGAAACTTTCCAGTTTAGCTGTGTCCCTGGGGTCTGCCCTTGTAACTCAGCCGGGCAGTAAGGGCGGAGGAGCCAACTAGAGTGTGTGTATGAAGGAGTTCCTGGAGCCAAAAGAACAAAGGAGAATGTGGTCTATTAGCAAGTCCTGTTGGCTCTATCTTCAAAGTAAACCCAGCATCCAACCACATCTCCCCACCTCCCACACTTCTACCCTGTTCCAAGGCTCTGTCCTGTCTCACCTGAATTATTTCAAGAGCTTTCTAATCTCTTGCAATCATCTCCCTGCTTCCATTCTTGCTTCCTTGCCCAAAGTTCTTAATCCTCATAGCAGCCATAGGGATCCTTTTAAAAGGTAGTCAAGCTACATTACTTTTCTCAAAACTCACCCAATACATTCCCCTTACTCCTAGAAAAGAAATCAAACTCTGTTATGACCTATAAGATCTACAGTCTGGCCCTAGCCTACGTCCCTGGCCACATCTCATACCATTCTCCCTTGCTCACTCCTTTCCAGGGGCATTGGTCTTTGTTACGCAAAGCCTGTTCCTGCCTGGGGGTCTTTTTGCTGCAGCTCGTCTCTTCACAAGGAAAGCTTTTCCCCCAGATCATCACATGACTGGATACCAGTAATCTAAGCGTCATCTTAGACGTTACCTACTCAAGGAGACCTTGTGTTTTCCGCCCAGCCCTGTGTCTCCATCACTGTTCTCGGTTTTATTTTCTTCCCGGCAGTTATCACTACTACTGTCTGCCTCATTTATTTGCCGTTTATTGCCTGCCCCGCCACACACAACACACATACTGGAATGTATCGTTCACGGAGCAGGTATTTTACCTATCTTCTTCAACGGCTGCCCTTAGCGCACCTAGTGGCCCTCAATAAATACTTGTTCAATGAGCTCATGGAGGAGGGAGAAGGGAGGGGCTGGGAAACAAATGCACTTCTCCCGGAGGTCACACGAGGGCGCTGCTCCACGCGGACAGGATCGCCTGGTCCACTCACCAGCCCCGTTTGCTTCCCCAGTGGACCCGCCAGAGCGCGGAGATGACAAAAGGGCAGGAAGGGGTCCTTAATCCTCCAACTTTCCCTGGATTGGCCTGGCGGAATGGGATGTGGGGGGAGCGCAACAAGGATGGAGAGAGAGGGCTAATCGTGCTCTTTTGTCAAACCCTCCACTAGATACATGGGACCCCTCTCCTCCCTCAGAAATGCGACTTGGGCTGATTTCTCCCCACTAACCCCAGGTATGGACTTGGAGCGCAGCATTTGCCCCAAGTCCAAGGAGGTCCCAGGATAGGAATGAAAGGAGTGAGTCACTCTATTACCACTTGGAGAGGAGGTGCTGAGTCTGAGGGGGGAGTTGTTTTCAGCCCCAGGAGGAATAGAAACTGGCCCCCTAACAGGGCCTGGAATCCCTGTGACCACCCACTTCAAGAATGTGCCCCAACCTCAGGGCAAGTGATTCAAGAGAACCTGAGGGAACAGGAACAGGCACTTGGCATGAATAACCCCCCTCACATACACAGCCTCCCTTCCCATCCCCACTCCTGCCAAAGTTCAGAGGGTCTTGCCTTGCCTTCTCTGTGGCCCCAAATACTCTGCCTCCCAAGGATGCCTGCGATAGAGGGCCACCATGCCTCCACTCTCCCCAGGCTCCCTTCCTTCCTCTTGGGTCCTAAGTGCCCTGAGCTGGGCAGGTTGGTGAGAAACGTGAGTGAGAACCCTCAGCTTTGTCTGTGGGCACCAGCTGTCTCCCAGGCAGGGATTAGTGAAGGTAGGCTATATGGGCAAGTAGCCTTGGGTGTTGGCACTGGAAAATACCCTGACCCAGGAATCCGAAAACTGGATTCTTATCCTGACTCAGTCATAGATTTATTAGGTGTTCTTGTCTAAAGTCCTTCCCCTCTGAGCCTGTTTTCTTTGTATAAATTAAAACAGTTGGGGTAGATGATTTCCAAAGTTCAAAGCATACCTTTATGCAATACTCTGAGCTGAACTCTGAGTGAAAGGGAGTGGTGTCATGAACAGACTGCCTTGGTGTAAATCCAGGCTTGGTCACTTTCTAACAAGTGGAAAAGAGATTTATCTTTGCAGAACCTGAGTTTTCTTAGCAGCAAAAGGGGAATAATAAAAGTACCCACACCATAGGCTTTATTAAATGAAACAATGCATGTAAATTAAGCCTATCACATAGTATACACAATATGGAGACTATTATTACTATATAACTGAAAATAGTCACTTGTAGAGTGGGGAAGAAAGAAAATATATATTGATATGTCAGTTGTTTCTAACCCTGTGCTAGGCACATTATCTCACGTAATCCTTGCAACAACTTAAAAAAAAAAACACCTTTTACTTCTTGGGGCGCCTGGCTGGTGCAGTTGGTTAAGTGGTTGGCTCAGGTGGAGATGCTGGGGTCGTGAGATAGAGCTCCATGTCGGGCTCCGTGCTCAGTGTGGAGTCCACTGAAGACTCTCTCTCCCTCTCCTTCTGCCCCTCCCCCTCAAATAAATAAATCTTTAAAAATAAAATAAAACTTTTATTTTAAAAAACTCTTTAATTTTTTGACTATTTATGAGAGTCTAATTATAGAAGAAGAAATGAAGGTGCAAAAAAGATACAGAGAGATGTCCAGCTGGTACCTTTCATCCATCTTCCCCCAATGGTAACATCTTACATAAAGATAGCACAGTATCAAAACCAGAAAAATGACAGAGGCACAATACTGTTAGCTAGACTACAGGCCTTATTCAGATTTCATTTGTTTCTACATGCACTTGTCTATGTATGTGTCCGTGTGTGTATAGTTTTATGCAAGTGTATCACATGCAAACTGGGCAAGTTGCTCAACTTCCTTAAGCACTGGTTTTCTCATCTATAAACCGGGGGTGAAAATACTATCTTCCTCAGAGGACTGTTATGAGAATTAAATGAGATAATGTATATAAAGTGCTCAGAGCAATGCCTAAAACGTAGTGAGCATTCAAAAAATTTAAGTATGTTTTAATTTTTTTTAAGATTTTATTTTTTTTTTCATTTGAGAGAGAGAGAGAAGGGAGAGGGGAAGAAGGAGAGAGAGACAGAATCTCAAACAGACCCCATATTCAGCAGGGAGCCCGAGGCTGGGCTGGATCCGATGACCCTGAGATCATGGCCTGAGCCAAAACCAAGAGTCCAAACCTTAGCCTACTGAGCCACCCAGGTATCCCGGTATTTTTTTTAGAAAAATCATGTTTTGAAAAGTGACTTGAAATACATAAATCATTCATATTTGTTTTTTAAAATTCATATTCGTTACAGAAAAAAATAGAGGGTTGCCTGGGTGGCTCAGTCGTCTGGCTCAGGTCATGATCCCAGGGTCCTGGGATCGAGCCCCACATTGGGCTCCTGCTAGGTGGGGAGTCTGCTTCTCCCTCTCCCACTCCCTCTGCTTGTGTTCCCTCTCTCACTGTGTTTCTCTCTGTCAAATAAATAAATACAATCTTTAAAAAAAAAATAGAAAATGCCCAAAAGAGTAAAAATAACAAAATAAAATTTCACAATGCACTTACCATAAAATAACCACTATTAATCATTTTACTCACACCACAAATATGAGGCACATTTCATTATTCCCACTTTATTATAAAAACATTGAGACTCAGAAAGGTTAAGCACTTGCCATAGCTACTGAGTTTATGAGTGAGGAGCTGAAATTTAATGCACAGTCTTGCCTCCACTGCTCCCAGCTGGGGGCAGCAGACTGGCGCAAGAGTAACACCGATCCAGGGCTGACTGGGATGAGCAGCATCTGCTGGCTTCTGAGTGCTTGCTAGGTTCCAAGCACTGCCTTAGCACCTCGCAGGTCATCTCCATGAGTTTTCACGATCGCCCTTGGAGGTAGGAATCGGTCCCATTCCAATGAGGAAATGGAGCCTCAGAGGTACCTTGGCCAAAGTCATAGCTAGCGGCTAGCGGACCCAGGGTTCAGAAAGGGGTCCGTTGCATGCCTCAGCCTGAGCTTCAAAGCCTCTGCTCTGAGGGATTCATTCAGACAAGATGCTAGTGGAATGTGTGTAGAGGGAGAGTCTCTCCAGTTGGAGGTCTGGCTTCTCTGACCCTGGAGCTGGGGTACCCTTCTCTGGCACCCACCTTGACCCCAGACCACCCAGATCCAGCCAACACTTGTAGCGGGCCCTGACAGTTAGAGACTGCTTCTACTCCTCACAATGCCCGCACTCCATCTGGAGTAGAGGGGTCTGGGCATTTGAAGGGGAGAAGAACGAGGTATCAGAGAGCCTGAATCTGCAGCACAAAACCATCTGCACGTGCCATAAACTGCTCTACCTCAGGCTTTCCGAGCCCTCGCGACTGAGCCTTCCAGATTCAGGA